TTCACACTTGGCTAATATCAGTACCCTCTCTTATACCCCTCTAAAATTATTACAAATTTTCTTTATTGGTCTGAAAACACCTATGCTATCTCAAACCTGCCTTAACAGATTGCTTGGCACCCACCAGTGAGTGAAAAATCAAGACTATTATATGAGAAATCCTTCAGCTTTCACCCTCCATCTCTCCCCTACCAAAACCAAAAACCAAAATCCTGTATCCGTGCCTTATATTCTTTGTCTCTACTCTTACAAGAAGTGTCTTCTGTGACTTTAAGAACTTTCTGCTTCCACTGTAGTTTTGCCACATTAGTTTTTCAGTCACTTTCCTATCTTCTTAAAACTATAATTTTAGTCATCCTTTGAATAAAAGATTATTCTATGATTAAAACAAACAAAATTATTGTATTTAACTCTGCATCTTGTTAAAGTACTTTCTTCTCTCTTACTTCCTTTCTCAAGTGAGTCCACATAGGTCTCTACTTAGTTATTGCTATTCCTTACCACAAAATCATCTGAATTCTGCCTTTACCATTTAAATAAAATTGCATTAACTATGGTTACTAGTGATTTCTTCATAACCAAAAATAATGAACATTTTCAGATCTTACCTTACTTGACCTATCTGCTACTTTTTTTTTTAACGATTTACTTATTTATGCATACAGAACTGGGGTACAGGCCATAGGTGGAGGGGTGGTGAGAGGATTCACCAGAGATGGAGTGGGGAGGAGAACAGGCAGATCTACGAAATACACTGCTGAGGGGAGCAGCGGGCACTCAGGAGAGGTCTGCCACGCCATGTGGGTCAGCTCCCTGGCGCAGGATAGAACTCATGCTGCAGTGGCTTCAGGGAGCTTCATAATGAGCTGTTTTAACCTGTTGCACCACCAGGGAGAGCCCGAGCTATCTGCTACTTTTAATACTGTTGTCCATGACATCTTTTTTCCCCTGGATTTTTAAAAGAAAAGACAATACCTACTCATTGAAGAAAATGTAAGAATTCTAGGAAATATAAAAAAGGAAGTAATGCCTCTCCAGTATGCAGAGATAGCCAGTCTTTGCATTTGGTAAATTTTTCACTCAGCAATATATTGATGATATAATATTCCATTGTTTATATATACTATAACTCATATAATCAGTTCATTGTTAATGAATACTTCAGTATTTTTCCAGAATTCTGGATATTTAAAAATTGCTCAAATAAAATTCATGAATATATGTCTTTGAGGATTATTGTCACCTTGAAACTTTATTCTTCCCCGTGTGTTTCTGTGACATATATATATATATATTTTCTGATATTGGCGTCATTCTTACTACTCTGGCTAGTTTTCTGAAGTGTCCTTTCTGGAGTTTATATTTTCTGCATGCTTCTATTAAATCAATCCAGTGTTCAAACCTCATTTTACTTGAAATCCCCTCCAAGGTAATCTTTTTTCCTCATGACTCCAGCCATCACTCAGTGACTGCCAATGTTATAAGATCTCAGATGACATTCTAGAGTGCCAACACCACACAGTTTCCAATGTGGGCACTCATTTGGCTCTCTTACAAGCAGGCGCCTCAAATTTTATGACTCCAAAATTGAACGTAGCGCATTCTCAAAGTCTGTGTAATTTCCTTTATTGCCTAATCATTAGAATTGCCTTTCATCTTGTCTCTCAAGTCAGATCATTGGCTCCCTTGGCCTTTGTGTCCAATTAGTTATTAATTTTGGTAATCTCCTCAATATGTTTCATATCTTCCCCACTCTTTTCATTCACAGTGTCTCTGCTTTAATTCACATTCTTTCATTTATTGCCTGCATGAATGCTTGTGTTCTCATTTCTTTCATTTTCACTAACCTTCACTTCATCTTTCATGCTGTAAATGAATTGTCTCTTAAGCATTCAGATCTGACCATATCACGCTGTGCTTAAAATAATCAATATCTGGCCTTCTCTGGTGGTGCAGTGGGTTAAAGCACAACACTAGGGAGCTAGAGCCACTTCAGCATGAGTTCGATCCCTGCCCTAGAGGTGATCCACATGGCACAGCAGACCTCTCCTGGCCCACCCGCTGATTCCCTCAGCGGTGTACTTCACCAATCTGCCTGTTCTGCTTCCCGCTCTGTCTCTGGTGAATCCTCTCATCACACCTGCACCTCTGGCCTATACTCCAGTTCTGTATGCACAAATAAATAAATCTTTAAAAAAATTAATATCTCACTATTAACCTTGACTGTAAATCCCACTGAATAAATTCCATGCAACTTATCATCAGACCAAACCTTTGTGTACTGGGTTTTGTCTCTCTTTCTAGCAGATGTCAGTACTAAAAAATGAAAGAACTGAAATTAGAATAGAGTATACTATTCTAAGTAGTGTAAAGAACCTGCAATATGAACTAAGGTCTTTTAAGCACTTTTAATGATCAAGTCAGAAAAATAATAAAATTTTACAGACCTTTATAGTAGGGATAAGAGTGGAAATGACAGTAAACTTTAGCAAAAGCTAGACAAAACTGAATATTAAAGAGAATATCACCTGAAGCCTCTGTAACATTGAGCTTGTATTAGGTTGACATAAAGCATCAGTGTCAAAATAGCGACTGACAAAAAAGACCTATGCTACATCTTGCCATCTTTATTTTCTATTTAAAATACTTTGTTAGCTTGCTACCAACTCTAGGGCAAAATCTAGGATTTTAAAATGTTCTATGAGTGCCTCCATGATTGGCCTATTTATTATCTGTAAATATCACCTCCTACCATTGTCCTATGGCATATTAAGCTCCACCCACATAAATGCATGGTGCTTTTTCATTTCCCTGTGTTTTTTTTAAGATTTATTTATTTATGCATACAGAACTGGCTTATAGGTCAGAGGTGCATGGGCAGTGAGAGGATTCACCATAGTGGTGGGGAGAAGAACAGTCAGATTGATAAAGTATATTGTTGAGGGGAGCAGCAGACAAGACAGGAGAGATCTCCCACACCATGTGGATCACCTCTGGGTGGCAGATCAAACTCAAACACAAGCTGGCCATGGCCAGCTTTGCAGTGCTGAGCTGTAACCCACTGTTCCACCAGGGATGGCCCTTCCTGTGTTTTTTAGCATACTACTTGCTCAGACTATAATGTCCTTTATTTCCTGGATGAACTCCTGGTTATCATTTAACGTTCTATGCAGACATCACCAAATCCAGGAGGCTTCTCTGAATGCCCCTCTCTCCCAGAGTTATACCCATCCAAATATACATTTGTTTCTTTATCAGTAAGCAAATATTTATTGAGTACTTAGGTATGGGGAACACTATGGTGCTCTACCTTCTTGACCTTATATTTAGTTGTGGAAACACACACACACACACACACATACAACACATGCACACTACCCAAGTAATCAAAAAAATTATCTGTTTGCTAAGTACTGTGAATAAAATAAACAAAGAAATGGGATACAGAATGGTAAAAATAGTATCTATGGGGCAACCTACTTTAGTATAAGTTTGAACCATATGAACTTTTTGGTATTTACTTGTTTTTGTCCTGTAAAATTGGTAGTTTTATATAGTTCAACTAATCCTTGCCTCTCTGAGGAATTAACAGTGAAATTAAAACTTGAATGATGAGATGGAACTGGGCATAATGGTTATACTTGAAGTTTAGCAATTCCTGGAAAGCCAACGAAGACTGGAGAGCATCAAATTGGGACAAGAGATAAGAGTCTAAATAAAAGTAAGAGAGACAAGCAGGGCACATAATAAAGGTTTTGTATAGGAGCCTAGATGTGATTTTCATTAAAGTGTAAAAACACTGGAATATTTTAGGATCCTTCTGACTGCAGTTTTGAAATGGAATGGAACAAGGTACAGATAGAAATGGGGGGGGGAATATCAAAATAGGGCCATCAACTAAGAGATTGACATAAGGAAGCAATATACTGTTAAATGTGCAGGGGTTTTGGAGCCTTGCTGCATTGCTTCTACCATTTATTAGCTCTAACTTTATGCAAGTTTCTTAGATTATCTAAGCCTCAGTGTCTCCATCTGTGAAATGGGATGGCAGAATTAGCCATTTAGTCCAGAGATCAAGTGTGAGATATCCATTGCTAAGCAGTCAGTCTCTTGCTGTTAAAAAACACATAATAGGCCCTCCCTGGTGGCGCAGCGGGTTAAAGCACTTTACTGAGAAGCTTAAGCCACTTCCGCATGAGTTCGATTCCCGCCTGCCCCCAACATGGCATGGCAGACCTCTCCTGACCCGCCCGCTGCTCGCCTCAGCAGTGTACTTCGTCGATCTGCCTGTTCTGCACCTCACTCTGTCTCTGGTGAATCCTCTCACCCTCCGCATCTCTGGCCTGTACCCCAGTTCTATATGAATAAATAAATAAATCTTTAAAAAAAATTTAAAAAAAAATTTAAAAAAATTAAAAAAAAACACATAATAGATACAACAAAAATTAATGTCCTAAGTGTTAGATGGTGCCTGAACTAAGTTAATGATAGCATAATCCATGAAAAGTGAATGGTTATGAGACATGTGGAAGTTTAAACGTCAGGATTTAGTAATGGATTGGAGGTAAGCACTGAGGAAGAAGAAATTTTCAGGTATTACTTCTAGCTTTTTATCATAGACAGGATTAGATTTTGCTACACTTTCCTTAATTAGAGGTGTTCTATCTGGTACATATTTTAGTTACAGAAATGTATCTCTTTATACCAGATAAGGCAGAATATAGGGGAAAAAAATAAACCTCATACAATATAAATGGAAATATTTATTGAAAATTATAGATGCCAGAACCTTATAGGAGGTAGGTATAGGAGGTATGTATAGGAGGTATGTAAAACACTTTGTGTTATAGTCGTACCACAAATGTCTAAAATATACAAAAATCTTAAATGTTTATTATCTTTTCATGATCTAAGGTTTTGAAAATATCTACTATGTGATAGACAAGTATTAAGCTTATATTAAAGGTGTTTTATAACCATTCCTTCTGCTTCTTTCACAGAATGGAGCCCACTTGGTATACGAGCAGATAAAGAATTTAAAGAGGGTTATCCTTTCTTATTCTTAGTAACAGATAGTCTATTTGGGAATCACTAGATACCATGGGGAAGCGAGATAACCGCGTAGCCTATATGAATCCTATAGCAATGGCAAGATGGAGAGGCCCAGCTCCGTCTGCAGGTCCAACAATACAAGATTATCTGAATCGACCAAGGCCTACTTGGGAAGAAGTAAAGAAAAAATTAGAAAATAAAAAGAAAGGCTCCAAGGCATTAGCTGCATTTGAAGAGAAAATGAATGAAAACTGGAAGAAAGAGCTAGAAAAAAGCAGAGAGAAATTATTAAGTGGCAATGAGGGCTCATCCAAAAAAAAAGAAAGAAAGAGAAAGAGAAAAAAGAAGAAAACGTGTCCACCTTCATCTTCTTCATCAAGCTTTGATTCTTCAAGCAGTTCTTCAGATTCTGTGGATGAGGAAAGGAAACAAGGTAAAAAGAGAAAGAGAAAGAGAAAGAGAAAGAAGAAGCGTGCATACAAATCATCAGAAAGTTCCACATATGAGACTGAAGTAGAGAGCAAGGGATCTGTAAAAAAGAAAAAGAAATGCAAGGATGAAACAGAAAAAGAAAAGTGCATCAGAACTCTCAGCAAAAAAAGAAAGAAAACCTATCCTGAGGAAAAACCTTTATCATCTGAGTCCTCATCAGAATCAGATTATGAAGAGGAGGTGCAAGCAAAAAAGAAGAGAAGGTGTGACGAACGAGAAAAAACAAAGAAGAAGAAGAAGCAACACAAGAAGCATAGAAAGAAGAAGAAAAAGAAGTCAAGTTCAAGTCATAAGTCAGGATAATTAAAGCAAGAAACAAACAAGCAACGATTTACCTATTTAAAAAAGCAACATCTTAAAGGAAACTTCAACTCTCAATATTAGGGCATATTTACCAGAATGTGTATGTTTCCCTGTTGGTAGAATTATTCCTGTGCCAGTCAAATGCCACTGTGCCAGATAAGGCCATAAATTGTTGCCTGCAGCTTACATATAGAATTTTGTCTCTGTATTTTTTCCTTCCAGTGGTTAATTCCCCAGAGAGCTAATGCCCTGTTGTCATCCTAGTGGTTAAAATGCTTGGAGCAAATGTTTTAGATAGTAAAATAATTTTGACCAAAATAATGCATTGAATGTCAACAGAAATTAATTTGGAGATATATATATATATATATGTGTGTGTGTGTGTGTGTGTGTGTGTGTATATTTAAAATACAATCAGAAATGCAGATGACTAGTTTTTGAAGTAAGGTCTTAACATTGATGTTTCAAATCATTACTTTTAAAGAGTACTTTATTTTTCTCAAACTTGTGTTTATATGGGGAAAGGGCGGGAGGGGGAAGTTTGCTATCACATTGGCTAGCTGAATAGTGTGCCTTTGATCCTTAACATTCTATTTTTGCCAATGCAGTAGCCATTCTCTTTTACATTGTGAAATTCTGGAACATTTTATGCTGTTTCAAATGAACAAGAAAGACAGCAATTAATTTTATTACATTTGTCTCTATAACAGTATTAAATAATATTTAGTGTTAAAGTGTTACATGATTGGAATTAACCTTGATTCCCTGTAGAGGGGAATAATTTTAAATAGACCCTGAAATTTTTTGATTAACAAAGTTTCTTAAATATTTTGCATGTTTTATACTATTAAGTTTTGATTATCCAGGAATCTTCTATATAATCAGTAATCCTTTTTTTATCTGATTTATGTGTAGGATACAACTTTGAAGTTTGTAATTTCTTAATCTTACTAAATTGATTGTATTACTATGTTTAATTTCACACTTGTCAAATATTTAGTATTGAAAAGGTTTTCTAGAAAAAAAAAATAATGCCTTCATATTGAAGCAGGTTTACTGTAAGCAAGTTGATACCAGGCCTTTAGAATGCTACGTGTCTTGTTACATAAAACTGCCAAAATCTTAGTAAATATTCTGTTTATAACTATGTTGTCTTCTTATGAATTAATGTTAAATTAAAGCAGAAGTTAAATTTAGAAAAAAAATGACATCGTGGATCTTCTGTGTGTCATATTTTATAAGATTTGGTGCCTCATGTCAGTTTCTGACTCCTACTTTCCACTAATGCTGCAATACAATAAAAATTATTTTTACTTTACATTTTAATATATCAGGGTAATATGAATTATAACTTGATGTCCCCCAAACAATTTCACAGCAAATGTGCATCTTGTAATGTCATATATACGAAGTATTTTGACATGAGAGAACCAATAGCTATTTTTTTAAATAGCTGCTTTTATTGGTGCCCTTGAATCACAAGTAAATTATTACAAAGGTAGAAATCATCTAGTACATAAATATCACATTGGCTGTCCAAATTTTTGCAGTGGAAAGATTCTTGGAACATTATAAATGAAATGTCAACTTACGGTACATTGAAGCTTCATAACTTAAGCTGTTCCTAATACACACACTATTAAAAACCATTATAGTAAAAGGATATTTTGTGTCCATATACAGTTTTTTAAAATTGTTCCTCATTAAACTATGAAAATAAGCTTCAATTATTTGTAAAACATGGTAAATGCATGAACAGCGTATCAGGTACTATGTTCTCCCATTCATTTCAAGCCTCTTATAGGTAGGCAGCGTCATTTGATTACTAGCAGAGGGATTGCTGAGGGATGTTGAAGAGATGTGTCATTCCAATAATAGAGCAGCAAAAAGTCCCCTTCCAAGCATTCTTTCTTTACCTGCCATGATGATCTGCTAGGTATGTGCTCCAGATGGGGTACCAGCAAGATAAATGATACTGGAGAGCTGATGGACTTACAGTGAAACTTTTTTTCTTTTTTTAAAAAAATATTTATTTATTCATATAGAACTGGGGTACAGGCCAAAGATATGGAGGGTGAGAGGATTCACCAGAGACAGAGTGGGGTGCAGAACAGGCGGATGGATGAAGTACACTGCTGAGGGGAGCAGCGGGCGGGTCAGGAGAGGTCTGCCACACCATGTGGATCACCTCCAGGGCAGGCGGGAATCGAACTCATGTGCAAGTGGCTTTAGCTTCTTAGTGCTGTGCTTTAACCCGCTGCGCCACCAGGGAGGGCCCAGTGAAACTTTTATATGAAAGAAAGAAACTGTTGCATGCTAAGAAAGGAGATTTTAGGTCTTTTTCTTTGACCACACCATTAACTAACCTAATCTGACCAATAACACAAAACTCTAGAAAATTTATATTTCATAATTTACATAGCACATATCTTCAGTCAGATCTTCCTATAGGCTGCAGATTGATTCAGAGGTGATCATTTATACCAGAGCAGAAGGAAATGCTATTTTATTTGCATTGATACTTATGTTATGAGGAAGTGGGTAGTCTCGCATAATGCTTCTCATCAGCATTGCTAACTGTCCAGGAACTTCACTATTCAATAAACTACTTTATTATCCGTCTGATAATGACCAAAATAATCTTCTAAAAATAGATTGGAAAGGAAATTTAAAAAAGCATTAATGGAGACTCAATAAAGAAGAGGGATGCTTCTTTAGAAATGTAAGTATAGAAGAAAAGTAAGGACAAGGGCTATGGGGACTTTTTTTAAAAAAAGATTTATTTATTTATGCACACAAAACTGAGGTACAGGCCAGAGGTACAGGGATGGTGAGAGGATTCACCAGAGATAGAGTGGGGAGCAGAACAGGCTGACTGACGAAGTATGCTGCTGAGGGGAGCAGCAGGCCGGTCAGGAGAGGTCTGCTGCGCCATGTGGTCACCTCCAGGGAAGGCAGGGATCGAACTCATGCTGAAGTGACTTTATCTTCTTAGTGCTGTGCTTTAACTCACTGCGCCACCAGGGAAGGCCCAAGCTGTGGGAACTTTCATGGTGGGTATGATGCAGTAACATAAAGAGGTGGAACCTATTCCCATATGTCATACACAGTGCTATAAGACACTTTTAATAAAAATAATATATTTGGGGAAAAGATGCTATGTGAATATGTAGAAAACTTATGTAAATTTAGGTAAACATTTAATATATAACTTCCAGATTTTATTTTATTATTTTTTAAAGATTTATTGATTTATTCATACAGAACTGGCATACAGACCAGAGATGCGGAGGGTGAGAGGATTCACCAGAGACAGAGTGAGGAGCAGAACAGGCAGATGATCAAAGTACACTGCTGAGGGGAGCAGTGGGCAGGCCAGGAGGGGTCTACCCTGCCATGTGGTCACCTCCGGGGCAGGCGGGATCAAACTCATGCGGAAGTGGCTTAAACTTCTTATTGCTGTTTTTTAACCCACTGTGCCACCAGGGAGGGCCAACTTCCAGGTTTTAAACAAAATAGATTATCCTTTGTGAAAAGCACTAAAATTGTTTTTAGCAATTTGCTTTGTGATTTATAAAAACACCATTAACCATAATATTCAACTAACTTTGTGGAAAGGGAAGAACTGGGAAAATCAATAAGAAAGTAGATGAAAGACAGGAACAATTTGTACAATCTAGATTAGCAATGTAATTGAAAAACAAAGATCTCAGACTGAAGATAAAGAATTACATTGGAGATAAGGAAAATGAATAAAACGTGAGGTTCTGGTTTTAAGTATTTTTCCTTTATTATAAATATATTTTGAGAAAGTTGTAACTTTGACATTGTCAGTTTCTGTAGTCCCTTTCAGTTTTGCCAAAATTTAATCTATAAGGTAGGTTTTTTAGCTAAATTGATGTTAACCATATCTATGTACTTTTTAGACTTGAACTTAATTTCCTAGTCTTTGCTAGCTGCAAATAGATAGGTTCTTTCTTCAGATGGCTCAATTGCTTTTAACTGACTCCCCTGGCATTTTTATCTCCCTTGTATTATATGTTTTGTGTACTTAAGAACTCTAGTCATTAAAGAAAGACACTGATTCTTGACTAAGCATTATGTTGAAATTCTCAGTCTGCTATTTCTTGACATGTGACCCTGAGAAATTCAGTTAACTTTAATGTGCCTCAATTTCCTCAGATGCAAAAATCAGAAAAAAATAGTAGTATCTATAGAATGGTTAGGAAATTAAGAAAAAAAATAGCTTTTAAAACACTTGGCACGGTTACAGGTATGCACTGGATGGTCAAAAGTTATTTTTTTCTCCTCCCATCATCAGTAATTATCATTATTTTTAAAAAATTTTATTTATTATGCATACAGAAATGAGGTACATGCCAAAGGTGCAGGGGTGGTAAGAGGATTCACCAGAGAGAGTGGAGAGCAGAACAAGCCTAGTGACAAAGTGCACTGCTGAGGGGAGCAACTGGCGAGACAGGAGAGGTCTGCTGCACTATGTAATCACCTCAGTGGCGGGAACTGAACTCCAAGCGGCCACAACTTGGCTTACTTAGTTTCACAGTGCAGCACTCCAACCCGCTCTTCCACCAGGGAGGGCCCCATTATCAATTTTTATTGTATCATCTCCCCTTCTGCTTTTTTAGTCTTCTAACAGCAGAAGGTGTTTCGTCATTTTTATTGTTGTCAGTAGTATCCCTGTGTAAAGATTCTGTACTCCATGAAGAACTGTGACCCTATAAATTCCATCAAATGGGCAAGACTCATACTAATTTTTAAAATTAATAACCATTTATTATCCACAATAAATATATGCTATATTCATGTTTATTTTGTTTGCAATTTGTTTTTTCCTTTATTATTATTCTATTTCCCACTAACATAGCTTGTGTCCCCTTGTCCCTTTCCCTCTCCCTTCCTCTTAACCCCAGGACACTCAAGATATTTATTAATGTCCACTAGATTGTGTAAAGTGTTTTGTATTATTGAACTATCTGCTATGTTAGATGTCCAGTATTTGCTTTTATCATTCTGACCTACTTTATTGCACATATTTTCTCAAATTCAATCCATTTTGTTTAAATTGGCTGCATTTCATTCTTTCCTGTGGCTATATATGTATATACCACACCATCTTTTTTTTTTTTTTAAATGATTTACTTATTTGTGCACACAGAACTGGGGTACAGGCCAGAGGTGCATGGGCACTGAGAGGATTCACCAGAGACAGAGTGGGGAGCAGAACAGGTAGATCGTCGAAGTACACTGCTGAGGGGAGCAGCGGGCAGGTCAGGAGAGGTCTGCCCACCATGTGGATCACCTCCCAGGCAGATACCGCACCATCTTAATCCAGTCACCCACTGATAGACATTCAGGCTTCTTTCATGTTCTAGCTATTGTAAGTAATATTGCTATGAACATTGTGGAACATACA